ATATAGAATAGTAAACCATCAAAAAATGTAAAAATCGTTTTTTTCACCTAAAGAATCATAATAAGATATAGAGGCATTCATGTTTGGGATCAATATTTAACTATGTATTCGATACAAAAATAGTCACATGTTTTAATCTGGAAGTCAATTCGCGTTTTAAATAAATCCTGGATTCTGTAGTTATAATGCGTCTCCAGGTTTATCCTGTAAGTAACTGTAACTGACCGTCAGGACACCATTGTGATATATGTATATGTAAGTCAATTACTGGTCACAACAAAATGAAGGCTATATTTAGAACACGTGTAGAGGGAGCACATCGAGAGCAAATGAGAATTCCGATTTGATAAATATAGGGATGGGTTATCAACCAAGCTCGTTATCAGCCCCCAGGTGTGATGATTGTCCCACCACACCTCTCCCTTACACATTCGCCATGTAATGAAGTTAAGGCTGCGGTATTCTGTTGTCGTTGGTCGTTTTAGAGGCCTCGTTTAACACTCCTAACTAATATGGTTTTATATAATTATATAGGACACGGAAAAATATTATATGGGTTACCATACATTTGTCTTTTATAATGCATGTTCAATCAAAATATTACCTTTATAAACACTGATTGAATGACTTAAAAACATTTCCGTAAGTAAAACATAGTTATAATTAGTAAATCTTACTGTGAAATTGAAAGGTTTGAATGTGTTGACACATGGACGTGTATCTTGTGATGTTTACACATGGACGTGTATCTCGTGATGTTGACACATGGACGTGTATCTTGTGATGTTTACACATGGACGTGTATCTTGTGATGTTTACACATGGACGCGTATCTTGTGATATTGACACATGGACGTGTATCATGTAATGTTGACACATGGACGTGCATCATGTGATGTTTACACATGGACGTGTATCTTGTGATGTTGACACATGGACGTGTATCTTGTGATGTTTACACATGGACGTGTATCTTATGATGTAAACACATGGACGTGTATCTTGTGATGTAAACACATGGACGTGTATCTTGTGATGTAAACACATGGACGTATATCTTGTGATGTAAACACATGGACGTGTATCTTGTGATGTAAACACATGGACGTGTATCTTATGATGTAAACACATGGACGTGTATCTTGTGATGTAAACACATGGACGTGTATCTTATGATGTAAACACATGGACGTGTATCTTATGATGTAAACACATGGACGTGTATCTTATGATGTAAACACATGGACGTGTATCTTGTGATGTAAACACATGGACGTGTATCTTATGATGTTAACCTATGGACGTGTATCTTGTGATGTAAACACATGGACGTGTATCTTGTGATGTTAACCTATGGACGTGTATCTTATGATGTTAACCTATGGACGTGTATCTTGCAATTTGTACACATTTGTTCTTGTATCTAATGATTGCGAGTAAAAACTAATTTATCATAAGGCTTTTGTTCGGCTTAATTTTAATATATGTCCTTCTTGTCTTGGTCTTACAAACCTCACTGTCGATATTGACAGGATTTTTGCACTCTGCTTCCGAGCTAGGAGCTTGGATATTTCGCTAATGAATATAACTCATGAATTCATCTGAAAACATTATTCATCACTCTTGTTTTTATTTCTTGACTTTTTGTGACGTCATTTAATTTCAGTTGTATTTTGTACAAGATAAATGACGAACCCAAACTAATGAAGTGACAGTTAATGACCACATAACTTTAAGCAGCCCTTACACAACCTCTTTAGATCCCCTTTAACGAATCTTTACAACGGGTTATAATTATGTTGTTCCCTTGTTTAGAGATTAGGTTTCATTTGCCCAGAAAATAAAAATATTTGCAATTTTTTACAACAAAGGAAGCACAGATCTATTTTTAGCTTGTTACAATGCATCGCACCTTGTCATCTTAAACTAAGTTGTTATAAAATGTTCCCTATAATTTCATTTTTTAATATATTTTTTTTCAGAAGTGTGACAGCTCTTTGCCGTCGATCTGGAGGATGATAATATCTGTCTTTCGCTAATGTGTTGTAGAGGATTGAACAATTTTACATCATTAAGGCTGGAATTCTTACTCTTATACCATAACCCGATGTAGACAATGTAAACAGCGTATTGTTCTCTCTGTTAACGATCAGTGACAATAACACGTCTCAGCATAAAAGTCTCTTCATTGTCTATGTATCAAAGTCTTTGGAACTAGGAAATCAAAACATTTTCAATCAACTCCTACTTTCAATAAATAATGTGTTACTAAAATACCATTCCCTGTGAATTCTTCAAAGTTTCGGTAGGTCACTTGAAGGAATATGTGAAAGACAATTCTCTTTCTTAATAGTTTTGTCTCGATAAATTACTTTTATCTTTCAAGAAGTCAGTAAAATAACCGTTGTCTCATTTCCAGCCATTAAGCAACTCAATAAAATGTTGGATGTACTTCCGCTAGAATGCAAACAGGCTTATCTTGACCATTACCTGGAATCTCTTGCTCATGGCTGACCAGTGATTGGCATACAAACTGTCGTCAAGTAACTGAAGGTCATTTTATGTAGCCGTAGATTTGTCCATTATCATAGCGATTAAGTTCCTGTGTCAACTGATGGACAAACTCTAGCGGTAAGTCGTACACACTGGTAAAAACCTGACCAGGAATTGTTGTAAAGCCCTATGCGCAATCTGTTCCAACGGATGAATGGAAGGAGGATTAGACAAAAACGCTTTTTTTCGGGAACGATTGCTACTGATCATCAGCCAAGGCTAAGGCAATCTAAACAGAATCGAACGCTCGAGTTATGTTGATTTGTTTAACTGATCAGTTCATTTCAGAAATAATGCAACGCAATTCATGTAAAACCAGGGAGGATTTCCACACCTGATACAAATTCCAAAAGTAATCTTGTTTTCAAATGGATCAGTTCTCCGACATCTTATCTGGTTCCAATTTATACGAGTTTGGAGTTTTCTCCTCTATCAACCTTCCTAGTCGTTTGTGTAAATCATGCAATATTACCACTTACGTGCATCATACCTATTTCCACATCTGACCCTTTGAAAGGCGAGCAGCTACATGTGTATTTCATAAGCGTTAGAAAAAAAACTAAAAACTAATATAAATGTTAACAAAACCAAGCTTACCGTTAGTGTTGCATTCAACACTCGTCCCCCGTCGTTTATTAAATTTTCTAGACAACATAGACCTTACTAGCAATGCACAGATGTCTCTTTAACAATTGAAAGTCTTCTCTCTAACAACCAGTGTCTTGAGGGGGAGTAGCGTAAAAACCAGAAAATAACACAGAAAATAAATCATTGCGTGCACTCCCCAGTGCTTAATACGGTAGGAAGAAGTATCAAGTTCGTCATTCCTAATCCAATTAACTGATTATCTGGAAAAAAGACTGAAATACTGACATGTCAGAAAGGACCCGGTGTGTGTCTGACCTTTATCGCTGAATTTAACCATTCTAGTTACACATGAAAAGATGTAAAATTTGACCTTGAACTTTTGATACAGTGACATTGAAAATTGGTCAATTGATTTCTGGTGTTTATCTGACAAACTCTGCTGTCCGTAACTTTGATGCTGGGCCCTAAAAATGGTGAAAAATGTCTATTGTAGTAAGTGACCTTCATAGACTTCACAGTTGACCTTTTCACCCTAACTCAATCTCATCATATATCTTTTCTAATAATGTTAGATTGCTTCAAGTTTCAATACGATCGGTCCACCCTATCACAAGTTATCATCTGGAAGCCAAAATATGACGATGAAAGTATATTTTTAGTACCACTGACCTTTGTAGTAGACCTTTTGACCCCATATTCAATCCTATTCTATATTACTTCCTAAGATATTTTGTGCAGTTTCAACCAAATCTATCAATCCTTTCTGAAGTTATCAGCTGGAAACCAAAATTTGATGAAATATATCTAATTTTAGCAGCAGTGACCTTCGTAGCTGACCTTTTGACTCCAAACATAATTTCACCCTGTATTACCTCATAAGCTAACATTGTGTAAAATTTCGACCAAATCCATTAATCCTTAATGAAGTTATCATCTTGAAACCAAAATTTGACGAAAAAATAGGTATTTTTATCAGCAGTGACCTGCGTAGTTGACCTTTTGACCCCTTAGGCTAACATTGTATGAAGTGTCAACCAAATGTACGAATCCTTCTTGAAATTATTATCTTGAAACCAACTTCCGGATATACGGACGGATAAACAGACGGACGGTTTCAACGGCAGAGGACTAATAAAAACAACAAGTGCCCCAATTCGACCCTCAAAAAGACTCGTTGTGAATTTTCGTTATACCTACCCCGTCATTCGCTTAGAGAACGTAACATTTTAATGTTGTTTAAATGTCCATGATGTCTGGTTGACGACGCTTGCCTTACCGGAAAACATTAACAGACTTTCCTTTAATTTCTTCTGTTCTGAGTCAGAATTATATTTTTTACACGGCATTGTTCTCCTGTTTTATGAAACATAAATAAAGAACAGACACATACACACTAAACATGACTGGAAGTATGTCATAATGAATACGATACATTTATATTAATGGAGTAAGACACTTGATACGAAGGCCAACAAACTGTCCATTCATCGGGATTGAATGTTCGTGACCGTACGCGATAAAAACGTCTGTTTGTTAGACCGCAGAGAGTCTGCGAATAAACCAGTTAGTGTGTAACGAGACATTCACTGGTAATGCCCTTGTCTTTATCGTAAAATTATGAAGATTAAAAGCCTTTTACCCGAAAAGCCTATTATTAGGATGAGTGACAGTCTAAGCCCGTGCCTACATACATTGGCCCCGAAACTCCCATGTGCATGTCTCGATATGATACTATTTATGTCCCGTGTAAATTCCAAGTTCAATGTTCTGATTGTTTGAGGTTTTGTTTTAAGCTATCGTGTAGCAGCCAAAGTCAAAATTTATATTTTAGTATAGTATATTGTGAAAACTACACTAACATTTAAATTTAACAGGACGTTCATATTCCATCTGACCATCTACTGGCACGTAGTTTAGAAAAGTGTCAGTGGTCTGCGTTCCAACGATCTCGTATTGTCTTGGTCCCTTGCCAGTTACGGCAATCTCGGCTCCCATCGAGTGTCAAGCTAATCGTTGTACAATCTGAGAGAGTAAAACGAAGGGCGGTAACTCTGGCAGATCAGAAAGGTTACGGAAGCTGTTGTATCCAATAGTCAAAACGGAAAAGAAAACCGATTTATCCGGAATGATATGTCAATTACTCAGAAGAAATTTTTGATAACAAATCTTAAGTCCCCAACAGAAGATGTGTAGTTTCCTGTGGGTGTTTTTTCCCCAGTCATATTATTTTGATGTCTCCATCAACTAGTTTTCTAGTCGAGTCCTATAGCGAGTACTCCCTGCACTCAGGGGGTGGGGCCTGGGTTAATATATTTCCAGCGATTACGTGTTTCCGTCGTTTTTTTTTTAAGTTTCAGGTGCGGGCAATGACATGAAATACCTGTTCCTAACATACCGAAAGAGTCTGACAAATAAAGAACGGCAGAGGCATGTGTAAGTCTGCTTAATCTACTCTGTGACGTCATAAATAGTACGTCAAAGTGATTCTGGACAGCAGCGACAGTTTTATGAGGCTGGATAAAGGTATGTATGGATGCAAACTACAATATTTCGGTCTGAAATCCTAACTTTAACGCCGTTCATGGCGAGAGAAATCGTGTCTGATGTTTTACACACTGCAGGATTAGCTATGTTCCTTGTGTGCAGTGTCAGTTAAACACACACGTAAATTCATATTGTTTTCCCCTATAACACCATCATTAAGAATTTCATTCTGATTTTTAATTGGTGTTTCTGTTTTGAATTTTTCGGTTCGCTTAGTAATATTTTCATTAAGTAAAACTAATATGATAGATATTAAAATTCTCAGTGTTTTTTTTCAGATTTTATCTATCTCTTTTGTATAATTTTCATTAGTTATTCTCCTGACTAACCAACACACACACACCACTATTACTTAAATAACAATAACAATAAGATTAAAAAAACACCTATCTCATGATATGATGATCGTACGATAAGTTAAAATCCATTTGTTTCGTGAGGCTCAAATTTCGTGGTTTTCCAAAAATATTCCTTTTCGTTAGAACTTGATTTTGTTGATAAATCTTGTCCATGAAATCGACAAGTACTATAATCTATTATTTTTTCGTGGGCAAATTAATTTCTGGATTTAGAGTATCCTTGAATTCAACGAAAATAAATCCTCCACAAAAATGGATAATTTTACAGTAAAGGTGTAAATAAAAATCGCATTTATATACTGATATAAATGATAAAGAGATACATTCGGTCAAATTGAACCAATGTTTCTATCTCTATTAAAAACCAGCTTTATTTTGAGGTTTACGGTTATAGATTCATAACATTTTCAATATTTTAGTTTAGATTTTGTAATGTTTCCAGCAGTCGGTTCATAATAAAAATATTCTCATTAATATCGTTTATATGAAAGGATTGACAGATTCACTTGTATCTGTTACACAGAGTTAACTATTGAAAATGAGGGACAGCGTATGATTCAAACATCAATCTTTTTAGATGTTTTCTCGAAAGCAAAACAGAATACCATCAAATCATATGATGAAATTAACAGCATCACGACTGGCTTCTATAGCGAAGATTAGAAATGAGGAATGCTTCAGGCCTAAAGGCCAACAGATGGAAATCCTATTTTATTAAATGTACTGGGTGATGAGAGTGAAATAGGAAAGGATTCCACGCTGTTCGCTATCATTGTCATTCCACCTGCTCCTCGTTTCTCTTCCTGTTTTCATCGTTATAAATGTGAGGCGCTAGATATTGCTGTATGTGGTAGGGGACGGGCCCTGGAGGGCACCTCAAATTAACAGTACAGCGATAAAACCCCCACAATTTCAAAAACATCTTTCACTTGTATTTTAATGAATGGATGTCAGACCTCTTGCCTTAGGCCACTTCCACAGGAACTTGGCACGAATTTCAACTCATCATTTATACATAAGTATTATAGTGACAAGGGTTGTAATTCTCGAGAAGGGAAAACTGATTGCATTTTTATCCTATTATTTTTAAGTAATTTTACGGGTCGTAAATCTGAGTGACACATACATTACCTTTTAAAAACATATTTTATCCTTTCGATGAATGCTTGATGAACGAAACTGGCCCCATCTTGACAAAGACATGGCCTAACATACTGATATATATATAGAAATGGCTAAGTTTACTTTGATTGAAACGATAAAACAGAAAAAAGGATTTCTGACATTTATAAACACTTACCTTGGTTCATGTGCTCAAATAACCATCAAAGATAAGTGGAATTTTATGTCCAAGCAAACAGCGAGTAGCCATTTTCTCTGCAATACATACCTTGGTTTCATATAAATACCACACTTTTGCCAAGAAGTCTAATTAACGTCACAGTAGAAAAAACAGAACTGCTCCTAAACATAATATTGTTTACAGTTTAAACAAATTGGAGTTCTGATATTGATATTCTGAAGAGAAAATTTGGTGCTCTGATTTGTGTACTCTGGGTTCTGGTAAACTCCAGTAGCGTATTGAAACAGTGCAGTGCGGAAATGAGTGAATGAAAAGAAAGATGATGTATTTAGATGGCAAAATATTTTAAATCAAGCGATTTCGGTGTCAGGTAACAGTAGTAACTTGATTTATCGAAAATTTGTGTCACGAAAACGCAGTTCAAACGTCAATTCGATATGAGATTTTTGTTTTCCTATAGTACAAATGAAATGGCACATAGTGTAAAGCTATTTATTAAGAAATCTGTAGCTTCTCTTCAAACCTAACAGGTTCCCTATCTTATCCCTATAATTTCGCCTAACTTGCACTTTTCAGTCTTTTGTTTAATCAGCTACATCACCCTACAGCCATCCTACTCCTGACTCTAAATCTCTTTTACTTTCATGCCATATTCATTACGGCGCTTTAGAAAGGTCTAATTTCAAACCTTTTTCTGCTGAAACTTTCCTTGGGATTTGTTCAAATCTATGAAAAACTAATTAAAGTTTGATAGGTATTAAAAATCACACTTTAACTTTTTGAAAAATAAATAGAACCTTTTGAACATCAATTATATTTTCACTTAAAAGGTCTTCATAAGATATGATATTCAACTGTTCACTTTACATCAACACTCGTATCTTACTACCACTAATATTTGGTGTAAAATATTATCTCAAATATCTGGTGTATCTTACTGTACCACATATCTGGTGTATCTTACTGTATCACATATCTGGTGTGTCATACTGTATCACATATCTGGTGTATCTTACTGTATCACATATCTGGTGTATCTTACTGTATCACATATCTGGTGTGTCTTACTGTATCACATATCTGGTGTATCATACTGTATCACATATCTGGTGTATCTTACTGTATCACATATCTGGTGTATCTTACTGTATCACATATCTGGTGTATCTTATTGTGTCACATATCTGGTGTATCTTACTGTGTCACATATCTGGTGTATCTTACTGTATCACATATCTGGTGTATCTTATTGTGTCACATATCTGGTGTATCTTACTGTATCACATATCTGGTTTATCTTACTATATCACATATCTGGTGTATCTTATTGTATCACATATCTGGTGTATCTTACTGTATCACATATCTTACTGTATCACATATCTTACTGTATCACATATCTGGTTTATCTTACTATATCACATATCTGGTGTATCTTACTGTATCACATATCTGGTGTATCTTACTGTATCACATATCTTACTGTATCACATATCTGGTGTATCTTACTGTATCACATATCTGGTGTATCTTACTGTATCACATATCTGGTGTGTCATACTGTATCACATATCTGGTGTATCTTACTGTATCACATATCTGGTGTGTCATACTGTATCACATATCTGGTGTGTCATACTGTATCACATATCTGGTGTATCTTACTGTATCACATATCTGGTGTATCTTACTGTATCACATATCTGGTGTATCTTATTGTGTCACATATCTGGTGTATCTTACTGTAACACATCTCTGGTGTATCTTACTGTATCACATATCTGGTGTATCTTACTGTATCACATATCTGGTGTATCTTACTGTATCACATATCTTACTGTATCACATATCTGGTGTATCTTACTGTATCACATATCTGGTGTATCTTACTGTATCACATATCTGGTGTGTCATACTGTATCACATATCTGGTGTATCTAACTGTATCACATATCTGGTGTATCTTACTGTATCACATATCTGGTGTATCTTACTGTATCACATATCTGGTGTATCTTACTGTATCACATATCATACTGTATCACATATCTTACTGTATCACATATCTGGTGTATCTTACTGTATCACATATCTTACTGTACCATATATCTTACTGTATCACATATCTTACTGTATCACATATCTGGTGTATCTTACTGTATCACATATCTTACTGTATCACATATCTTACTGTATCACATATCTGGTGTATCTTACTGTATCACATATCTGGTGTATCTTACTGTATCACATATCTGGTGTATCTTACTGTATCACATATCTTACTGTATCACATATCTTATTGTATCACATATCTTACTGTATCACATATCTGGTGTATCTTACTGTATCACATATCTTACTGTATCACATATCTTACTGTATCACATATCTGGTGTATCTTACTGTATCACATATCTGGTGTGTCTTACTGTATCACATATCTGGTGTGTCATACTGTATCACATATCTGGTGTGTCTTACTGTATCACATATCTTACTGTATCACATATCTTACACATATCTTACTGTATCACATATCTGGTGTATCTTACTGTATCACATATCTGGTGTATCTTACTGTATCACATATCTTACTGTATCACATATCTTACTGTATCACATATCTGGTGTATCTTACTGTATCACATATATGGTGTATCTTACTGTACCACATATATGGTGTATCTTACTGTACCACATATCTTGTGTATCTTACTGTACCACATATCTGGTGTATCTTACTGTATCACATATCTTACTGTATCACATATCTTACTGTATCACAT